CATGGGTCCTATAAAGGTGTGCTGTGTTCCTTTTCTAATGGAGGGTCTGGTACCCACTTATGTTCATGGATATGTTATTGCTTTTCCTAGAATGTTCCACCACATGACATTAAACTTATTGATTTGTATGGAGACAAGCAGGCAACAATACAAGGCCTTGTTACTGATCAGATCTATGGAGAGGTGACTCTGCACACAGTATAGAATATATATTTTAAATGCCTTGAATAAATACAATATAGATAAGTTTAATGCCATACTGTGGGAACAAGCAGGCAATTGACCCCATACCAAAAGAATTTACATAGTGCATCTTTAAATACACTGTTACTACTACATCACTGGAAAAAATATAAAGATAATTTGGTGCTATTTTCTGGATATATAGCTGGCTAAGACTGGCTGAAAATAACAGCCTTATGCAGAGCCACTTGGATGTAAATGTAAACTAATCGCTATGCTGTATCAGTTTATTTTGTACAGTTTCTGTTTATTTGTACAGGGACACTAACTCATTTTCAGTTAGCTTAGTTGTGTATTAATCTTATATGTGTCTAACCAGTTCTTTTCACATCACTGTGTAAGTATTACACTGGCTTTCTGTGAATAAAACATCATTATTGGTGATTCATGTTTTTACTTCACTATGTAATAACTGATGTTAAATCGATATACAATTCTTCAGAAAATACATTTAAAAAAATAAATAGGAACATATAGTGCTTTTTTGTATACCTAACAGTGTGAATGATGATTGACAGACGGTTTCGTGCACTGGTGTGTGAAATCTCACACATGTCCTAAATGATGTCTGAAAAAACAAACACAGATCTGAGCAAATATTTAATTTTAGAATAAGTAACAGTTTTAGCTCATTCATACTACTTTTATTATAGTTATTTAGAATATATTTTTAAAGTAGTATATTATTTTTTACATAATCTACCCCAAGATTTGCAATTTACATCAACCAGTCAGGGGAAAGGAGACATTTGGACAACTTGGTGTTTTGGCTTGAAAAGGTAACAGTCAAAATTCACCACATGAGAGTGGGTAAAAATGGACTGGAAAAGTTAAGTGACTTTCAAAAAGGATCAACACAATAGACACACAATATATTTCTCATGTTTAAAACAGTAAAGGTTTGGCGAGTTATTTATCTTGAGGATCAGTGATAGAAAAAAAAAACATAGAGTATGCGGGTATACTCAATCTCAAGCATTTCTGACACCATACATTATAATTGGAAATTACTAGGTTTTATTAAAGCATTTTATTATTAAAGGTTGTGGGACTAAGTATTCCCTCTAACAAGTGTTGTAACTTTACAACCCAAACGCCGTTGACCAATAGTCAATCCAATCCTTACATCAGATCTTGTTTTCATATGTTATAGTCACATAATGTCCACCAGGTGGCGCTGTTTGTCGCCAACTGTAGCAAATTTAAAATTGAAATTGTCCACAGTGAGAGTGTGGTGGTATCTGATTGTTGCTGTTTCATAAACACCCACTGGATGGCACTAGTCAGAACAAGTTTCAGTATTTGGAAGCACATGAAACACACAAGGTGCTTATACCCTTCATTTTCAGAACAGGAAACACAGAGGGAGGCATTCTTCTTAACATACACCCACTTTTCATAATGTCATTTTAAAAAAACGTTATCTATGCTTTAAACAATATACTGCTGCATACCACAGATCCAACTTTGTCATGTTTACATGTTTAACATTTCTATAACCGAGATCGACACTCTGAAAAAACAAAACTATTCTCGGAGGCCAGAGAGACATTATCAAATGTCAAATCAGAAATCTTGTTATTTTATACAAGAGTATGTTTTACCCTCGAGTTATCTGTTCATCTGACACATGTGCTCTTAACAACACATGTACCTCCCATATATTCAGTAGAGTATAAAGAATATGGAGCAGGGGTCTCCAGCCTTTTTCCTTCGGTGAGTTACTTTTACAAAAATGCCAGAGAGATACTCATTTTAGCGGTCACAAGAAACTAGTGTAAGAGCCACAGTGAGCCATAGATAAGGTACAGTTAAATGCCCATAAAACATGAACTATTATCCATTTTTAATGCACAAGATTAGGCATCAGAATTTCAAATCATCAGATCAGATTTACAATGGTAATAAGTATAATTCAGAAATCTCTTGCCGAGCTGCTTGGAAGGGGGTAGAGACCTACAGGTTAGAGACCCCTGGTTCAGAGTATAAAAAGTACAGAGTATAGAGTTGAAATGTTAGTTGAGGTTTAAGTATCAGACATCAAAGGATTGTACAAGTGCCTACAATTGTGCTGAAATATTACTTTAATGTTTAAAAGATAAAATGTTTTTTTTTGTTTTTTTTTTTAAACTTTCCTTTTTTGACTACTATTTTTAATGTGTGTTAAGACCAGCTTCTATTGTAAATAAATATCCATTAGTAAAATTTTGCATCTCTTCAACTCACTGAGGAGTTCACTCTCCAAAAGGTTTAGTGAGAGATACAGGACTACATTCATACCATACTCCATAAAACTGTACAACAGCTCACTCTTATGTAACAGATCAATCACTACATATCTTTGCACTGTTTCTCCTTGTATGACCTCCTGTATTTAACTGAGATATATTTGTAGATATTTCTATATTATATTTCTATATGTAAATATATTTTATATATTTTTTATTTTTACTAGTATATATACACTTGCAATACAATGATGCCTTATTTGACACCAGTCTCTTGTTATTTTTGCACTGAATGTATTATAATTTATGTTATTATAATATATAGTGATGTGTGAGCGACTGTGTCCAAATAATTTCCTCCGCCGATCAATAAAGTTTAGCGTTTAAGTGTAAATGTTCCCTTCATGATATTTTACATCTTTTACATATTTAAGTTTCTGAAAAGCTTCTTTTTCTTCTTCTCACTCTGTCAGCCGTTAAAAATGTTCCTCAGAGTTTGAAGCCTACACACTGCTGCACTAGATACCTGTCAAACTCACTGTTCAGTTGACACATAAACATCATATTTTCCAGATGTTTGTTCTGAAATTGGCTTTGGCTTGAGGTATAGACAGGGTCATGTGTGGGTGCGACATGTGCGGCAGGTGCAGGGGGTCGGGGCTTGTGGTTAAAGTTGAATGTTGCCTTTTTGCAGAAGCGGTAACCACGTCCTGTCTCCTCTCACATCAACAGCCTGTTTGAACCTGTTTGACTCACCACAGACTCATTTCCTGTCACTGCTGCTGCATTTGCACTAATCTATGTCTCTATTTTACTCTGTGTTTTTAATCTGTCTCTATTTTACTCTGTATTTTTAATCTATGTCTATTTTACTCTGTGTTTTTAATCTATGTCTCTATTTTACTCTGTGTTTTTAATCTATGTCTATTTTACTCTGTGTTTTTAATCTGTGTCTCTATTTTACGCTGTGTTTTTAATCTATGTCTATTTTACTCTGTGTTTTTAATCTATGTCTCTATTTTACTCTGTGTTTTTAATCTATGTCTATTTTACTCTGTGTTTTTAATCTATGTCTCTATTTTACGCTGTGTTTTTAATCTATGTCTCTATTTTACACTGTGTTTTTAATGTATGTCTCTATTTTACACTGTGTTTTTAATGTATGTCTCTATTTTACACTGTGTTTTTAATCTATGTCTCTATATTAGTCTGTGTTTTTAATCTATGTCTCTATTTTACTCTTTGCTTTTAATCTATGTCTCTATTTTACTCTTTGCTTTTAATCTATGTCTCTATTTTACTCCTGTGTTTTTAATCTATGTCTCTATTTTATTCTGTGTTTGTGACAGAGGTGGTGGTTTGTTTGTATTATTTCTCTGTTTATTAAAGGAAACATATAGTGCTTTTGTCTGCTATAGAGTTGTTCAAATCTGTGACACCTGTGGATTTTATATTTTTAGTTACATTTTGGATATTTTAAACTGGTGGAAACAGGGGTTGATGGAAACATTGATGTCGTGAATTCAGGAGAACAAAAATTACTCAAACATGCATGAATCACTGTGAATATTTGAGTGGATAAATGGGAAGGGGAAAAGCCTCCTTTAGCTACAAAATGTCCATGTTGGTGTTGCCATGTGCGAAATTCCCACTTATTTTGCATAATGATTCAAAAATTCAGCCTCACATCTTACTATGTGTCATTTTATGTATTTTAGCAGGTTAATGTGTGTGTGTGTGTGTGTGTGTGTCTGTGTTGTTTGGTTGTGTCGAGTCGGGCAGCTGTGGGGGTTGGGTGGGTGGAAATGTGGGATTGTTTTTAATCTCTGTAAAGCACTTTGTGTTACATTTTTGTATGAAAAGTGCTTTATAAATAAAGTTTGATTGATTGATTGATTGAAAAATATTATTTCGCTCTTCAAACAATTCCTTGAACTTTACAAATCTTCCTGTTTTCTGATATTTGTCAAAACTACATAATTATGTGCTCTGAATAATAATGTTGGTTTTATAGGTTAAACATTTCTCATAAATACAGCCTGAGAATTGCGAGAAAACAGCAGCTTTAAATAACAGGAGAAAAACAGATGCTGAGGCAGACGATGAGATCATATTTGTCAAAACTATGTAGTGTAGTAATTACATGACTGGGACAGACTTATAGAGCAGATTTATAGGGCAGGACCATAAAAAGGTACAGATCATATTGTGATATTGCTGTTGCTGGTTATATTTTCTTTTCTTTTATTAAAAACAAATGCAAATTATAATATGAGCTCTATACATGCTCTTACTGAGAGAGGATTGGTTATAGACATATCACTGACTATTGTAGAGGACTGGATCTTAATCTCAATTAAAATGACATTCATTGCATTTATTTAAGTTCGGTTGTTTTTAATGCTGCTACTTCATGTACAGTAGCACTTTATAGGGTCATGACCTTTGACCTCACTTAATCTCTTAAATGAACTGAACTAACAGATATGACTCTCAGTAATCTAACTCCAAACTCATCAACAAGACAAATAAGGACAAATATGTTTATTAAAAAGTTATGCAATGATACCATTATGTACATACATCACACTTTAAATAATAAAGCTTTAAGCAGATATGTGAATAGTCAGCTGTTTACAAATACACAACTATTAAAACTCAGTATATTTATAGATACACATTTTAACACATCAGTGCTTTGGAGTGTGGGTTAGGGAAAGATTAAAATGCACTCACCACTACTACAGATTTAGAAATGCCAGATAAAAATATATAGAGATTATACAAAATATGATCTGCTAAACTAAGCACTAAGTATCAGTTCTGGTTACACTGACGAGACGGTTCTTCTATAGACGTTAACTTCAATCTCCATTGGACTTAGGTTTGTTTTCCATTTGAACGCTGGAACAAAAACAAGATGAGACACAGTTACTCATCAAGACTTAAAAAATATAAATAATTTTGTGAAATAATTAATATTTTAAAACCAACCGGAATCTTCCAGACCAGGAAAGCGACAAAGAGCCCATAGACCACACCTTTGACAATGAAGACCACATATGAGAGCTTGGCATTCTGAGTAATCTTCAGGTATGTCTCTGTGGACACAACACAAACATAAGACACATCGATGTTATCCAAGCACCTGCAGTCCTGACTCAAAAATAAAACAAATAAATTATCACTTTTTGCAGTTTGCAGCGATCCTTTTGCCCTTTATTCATAATACATCGTCTACATGTGGACACCTCTTACTTTGGCCTCTTTGACGTGAAGGTGCAATGCGTAACTTTCTGGTGAAGAGTCCATCAAATGCTTTTTTCCAGGGAGATGCTATTGCTTTGTCTCAAATGTTTCACAGTATGGCATTAAACCTTTTTATCTTCATGGAGATCAAACCACACCAAGTTACAGGTAAGATCTCTGGAGAGGAAACCCTACTCACAGTCAGAATGTCTGTATTTTTGAGCTATAAAACTGTAATTGAATAAATGTAAACTAGAGCTGTTTAATGCCATATTGTGGAACCTTCCAGGCAGGGCAACGACATATCCATAGAAACAAGCAGGTGATGCACCCACCTCCAGAAAAGTTACACAATGCACCTTTAATATAATTGTTTAAAATACAGAAAATTTTGCTCACTGAAATTCATGTTACAATTGGGTGCATTATTTTTTAGTTCTCTCCAACTTTGAGGACCATTAAAAAATCCTTAAGAGATTTGAACGGTAAACCTTATGATAAATGGGAAGACTTCTTCAACTGAGCTACAGACGCCCTATTTTGAAAAGATTCTCAGTACGTTTTTGTCTGGTTCTGTCTGTAAATCTTTACATAGTTTTTCATAATCAAATCCAAGTCTAAAAATACTGACAAAACTATAGATTTTATCAATATCTTTAGTCTACTGTCTGAAAAATGTTCTACTTTTAAGCCCTGATCCACTTTTTGAGAGTACAGTTCCAAAAAGTCAAACAGCATAAATAATATAGTACAGGCCTGGGGCAAGAAGCCTCTCATTTGCCCCCCTCTAATATAAATCAACTCCTCTGATATAATATATGTTATGTACCTCTTGTCAGGCCACCTTCATCATCCTGTGCGTTTCCTGAAAAATAAACAAACAAACAAAAACTATGATTAGATTTTTTCTGTTTGAATATAACCATTTTAAAATCCTTGGACTTACCTTTCTTGCCGTTAATTTCAGCAGGGTAATCAGTGTGAGTAGTCCCATCGTAGAAACTGACAATGCAGGTGAAACTGTTATCTGGATTGTTCCACTCTGTTGCATCAACCCTGAGGCGGCTACTGATGGTGTAATATTGACCAATCCTCCGGGGGGCTTCATCAGTAGATACCCCTGGTGTTCTGAGAATTTCATTGACCTTCCAGGACACTGTCACATGATCGGGGTAGAAGTCTCTGGCCACACAGACCAGTGTCTTAGCTTTACGCTCTTCTTTGTTCCTGGGTCTCTCATTCTCAGAGGGGGGAAAAATTAAAACTTTTGGTGGTGTGGGCTTGAGACCCTCTTCTGCAGAAGAAGAAGAAAAAAAGTTAAAATACACACACCAACAATTCATTCAACAATTCAACAAATATTCTGATCTGAAACTGAAATTGTCATGCATTTTCATCAGTGTGATTCTAACCCATATTGCACTATTTTCTAATCCATGTTATAATGTTGTTTCATCATCAAAAACTGCTTGTGTTTTGTTTCATTCACAGATTTAACACACAAACCCTGCATATTTAGGCTGAGTTATTCTCTCAGATGGTTTTTAAATTTCATACACTTTCACTAGAATTATTTGTCAAATTTCAGCCCCGGAATTGCCTATCTCTCTTAAACTAACGATAAAAGGAGCTGTTGACTTGAAAACTTGAGCTTTAGAGGAGTAGACTGACTAATAATAAACAGTTACTCAAACATGTGTGTGAATGAAACAAAACACAACTCAAGGTATATTTTTGATAAAGTAACAATATCCTAACATTGCTTACAGTAAAGATCATGAGTCAATTTTGTGTAATAGGACCTTTAAAGTTAAACCAGTGTTCAATTACTGCAAGTTTAAGTTATATTGTCTGTAGATAATGAACAAGTATTTTTACATGTACACATTTGTAATTATAATTGTAGCTTAAACTTTGTAATTTTTTGTATATACTCATGTTCAAACTAATTTAGGCTACTTACAGGCAGTGGAGAGTTTAGAGAGAACATTTTTCCTATAATAAAGTATTTGTCCCTATGATTGTATTAATAATTTTATTCTAAACTACTATAATTTGTATATATGTCATATTGTTAGATTTTTTTTTTTTTTTTTTTTTACAGTTTTACAAGATTTTACCATAGCCTAAATAGTTAACACATTTTCTTTATAAAGCTGTATGTTAAATGTCTTTTCTTGTCATTTTTACATCCTATACAATACATATTAAGCTTTCTGTATTTAGAACAAATTCCTTTTGTTTAAGACAACTGTTTTCAATCAGTATTTTGTTTTTGCTTTCAGAGTTGGCTTCAGTCTCTATAACAATGCAATAACTATATTCTCCACAAAAATGAGAACTATTATATTGCATAAGCACAGATTAACTTTAACTTTGATCATATTTATTGTTTTGTCCAGAACTTACCCAATACAGTGAGTTTAGTTCCTTGTCCAAAGTAAGCCTGATCGGTGCTTGTTCACACTGTTACACTGCTACTGTTAAAACCTCAACCTGTTTTACCCCAAATGCCCCAGTCAGTTTAATACTCAGTTCAACCACTATTTTTCTACATTTGGATAATAATGCAATAGCCATTTTATCACTGTTACCTGACTTTCATTTGTTTACAGATATTAATTCTCAAAACATATAACTTTAAATTTTATTCATTCAAAAACTGCTGTGAATTTGCTTTTAAAATTGACTTTTGTGTAGATTTTGAGAAGATGCCTTAAGACTTACCCAGTACAGTGAGTTTAGTTCCCTCTCCAAAGTAAGCTTGTTCATTGTAGTTCACACTGATACAGCCCTACTGTTAAAACCCCAACATCTCAACATGTATGGATAGAAACTAAAATGTCTATTGAGAATCACTCTGTAGCGGACAACTTAATAGACAAAGAAATATCTTAAATCCTACATTATCTTTTTGTTTACTTTACTGTCTGTTAATATAATGCATCTTTAACATAAGTTTTGTCTCGTTGTCTTTTAACCAAGTATTCATAATTTGCATTGTACTGCAGAGAATAATTTAGACTTAGATTTCTTACCTAAAACAGTCAGTTTGGTCCCTTCTCCAAAGTATGCTGGATCATAGTTGTTCACACTGATACAAGGCAACTGTCAAAACCTCAACCTCCCCAACTATTTTCTCAGCTAACCTAACTTCCTATCTAAAACAAAATACCATTACAACTACAATGACATGAATTGAAACATTGTAGATCATTATTTAATGCTAGATCACGCAGGGTTTGTGATTGCTTTTCAATTGTATATTTTAGTTGAAATTAACATCATTTTCAAGCATTTGCTATCAACAACACAGCTTTTTAGAACTGAATTTCGAAGTATTTTTTGCATTTTCTTACCTAATACAGTCAGTTTGGTCCCGTCTCCAAAGTAAGCCTCGTACTGGTTGCTCACAGTAATATATGGATATGATAAGAACCTATTAACTCTGGGCATAGCGCCAAACATTTACTTACTAGAATTTACTTAGCTCCACTTCTCCTAGCATTAAGTGGGACATTAGATCAATTACCATACAAAAGAGTTGTCTAAATATGACATAATCTTATATGTATTTAAGGTTATGACAATGTCTGTATTTGCAGCTATAGTTTGAACTATTTGAAGTACATTGTTCTTACCTAAAACAGTGAGTTTAGTTCCAGCTCCAAAGTACGCCTCATTGTAAGAGCACAGAGCGCCTTAACTGTTCAAAAACCACCTACTTTTTCTCCTCAATATTATCACATCTTTACCACTGTCACACCTGCATGGGGCCTGGGCTGCTTTACAAACTAAAATCTAGTGACATTAACAAGTTTAGTAAATATTTAAATTGTGAATCTCAGTCACAGTTTGTTATTGACCTATTTTAGTTTTTCTTACTTACAAAAAGTACCCCAGTGTTTTTCCATTTTGAATTCAAGACCAAATGTTGAATCAAAAGGATTTTTCTACTGCAGTTACTGCAAATACATGTACATGAAGACTTCAGTCACTGTTCAGTACAATTGTGCATATTAATATGTCTTTTTATACCAATTAATTTGCAATTCAAGGAGATTTCTTACCTAGAACAGTTAGCTTGGTTCCTCCACCAAAGTAGGCTTCATAGGACTGGCTCACAGCGTGAAGGTTCAATACTCAAATACATTTTGCAGTACTTACCAACAGACACCATACTTCTACAGCTCCTACTACTACTACTACTACTGATATTGCTACTAGTTTTAATTACTACAACATTTTGACTTACCTAAAACAGTGAGTTTAGTTCCTCCACCAAAGTAGGCTTCATATGAGCCAGTCACAGTGTGAAATACTATGTCCAAATACTGGAGTGCTTATCAATAGACACCAACTGGACCGTCCATACATACATACTACTAATATTACTACCACTACTAGTATTATTACCAACACTACTACTACTACTACTACTACTACTACTGCTACCAATAACTACAGCATTCTGACTTACCCAAAACAGTGAGTTTAGTTCCTTGGCCAAAGTAAGCTTCTCGGTTGTTAGCACAGCAATAAGGCTTGACATAATAACTCAGTCCATCCATACATCCACTCACTGTGTCAGACTAATTATGTATTAAACACACAGACCTTACCTAAAACAGTGAGTTTAGTTCCTCCACCAAAGTAGGCTTCAGCGGTCCCAGAGTCACAGTGAACTTGTTCAATACTAAAATCACACTGGAGCATTTGATTTCTTTCCTATAACTTAACAGCCAGTGTAATATGGAAATGTGTGATTTAATCCATAATTTACTATACTGCAAATAGTCCCAACATAGAGCACACTCAAGGTATTTAAATGAATATTATATGATGTCTTACCCAGAACTGTTAACTTGGTTCCTCCACCAAAGAAAGCCTCGGTGCCAGTATTAGCACACTGTACTCAGCCATTGCCATAACACTGAACCAGCTACTTTTATCAACTCAACTACTAAATAACAACTCATATGTACAACCAACATTATTCACTTTCTATTTTACGTTATAATTTCCAGGCTACATTGGTCCTACTCACCCAGAACAGTCAGTTTGGTGCCTTGGCCGAAATATGCTTCATAGTTGGCACAGAGCTCAAGTTTGATATCAAAAACTCATCATATGAAGCCCAGCCTCAAATGGCAGTTTTTCACACCACAGCAGTTAAATTTGAAACTTTTAATTGTATTTACTCACCTAAAACTGTCAGCTTGGTTCCTGTTCCAAAGTAAGCTTCGTTCACATTATCACAGTGCACCATTACAGAGCAACAAACTCTATAGCGTCTTTCACTGTCATTTGACTTACATGCAAATGTATCTGTATCCACTCAGCATATGTGTGATTTGACTTAATATAAGACCAAACTCAAACATAAACATTATAATACTTACCTAGAACAGTGAGCTTGGTGCCTGATCCGAAGTACGCAGGTTCAGAGTAGGTCACAGTGCTGTTTGTGCAGATCAAAACTCAAACTTCAAATTTCTCTGTTCCTCTGATCTCATTCATAAAACAAAGTGTTCTTCAGACCAGACTGTGGCTCTGATCCTCCACAGCTCTGACTGCTTTTGTCTTGTCTCCTGAACAGGCGTCTGCTCCAGTCACAGATCTGTGTCTTTCTCATGAGACCCACAAACATCTGGAGACAGTTGCATGAAAAATCTACATTTTGTATGATTGCCTCTGACTCCAGTGAGAGTAGTGTCCACTTCAGAGAGGGAAGTGTCCATGTGGCCTTGTCTCTGTCCTGTCCCTGTCTGCTCCTGTCCCAGTCCAGTCAGTACAGCCCTGTGTTTGAGCTCAGAGGTTTTTGTACGGCGTCTCTATAGGATTGTATCACGGTGCCCCCTGTCCCCACCATGAAAACACTTCATACAAAAAGCTCCGCTCTCAGCGCCTCCTCTGAGCAGCTGCTGGGCTCATATCTATAAATCTCACTGAGTTTACACAAAGAGAAGGGCTTTTTAAAGAACAGGAAGAAGATATAGGACATGACATGTTTGTGTACAGCACATACATGACATACGTCACATGACACGTGTGAAAGGACAAAGTTGCGGTTACTCCACTGTGTGGAGTCTTTCTGACTCAGTCTTTTGTATTTTTTTGATCAAAGTTCTTGTGTTTTTATTATATATTACTATTTACAATATCATAATAAAGCAGTGCTTTAACTGTTATGATACTGAAAAAGACCAGTGTGCAGTGTGTGGTTATTTTATGTGATGTAGTGCTTTAAGACTTTAGTGGCAATATTATTTTTGGATCAGATTTTTTTTTTTAAAGTTTTGAATAACTTGAATAAATGAAGACTATGGCATGAATTCACTATTTCAGTAAATTAAATTGTCCAAAATGTTGGTCTTTCGCAGTGCAATGACACATGTTGCCTGTAGAGGTCAGTGTGGGGCCACATGATTATAATGGTAAATGGTCACATTTTTCTATGGCGCTTTTCCACTCAAAGCGCTTTACAACAAGGAACCACTCACCCATTCACACACACATTCACACACACATTCACACACCAGTGTACGCAGACACTATGGGCAAGGGGGGTTAAGTGTCTTGCCCAAGGACACAACAGTGTCGGAGGGACAATGGAGGGACTGTCCATTGTCTGAAAAGTGTAACTGCTGGGAAACACGGACCAGGTATTTTGTTAAGTCAAACTATTTATTTTCCATTATACTGAGAAAGTATGTTCCTACAAGTTCTTCATAGCGTACATATTAAACGTATCGGATATCAGGTTACTTTACAAATTCAGGCACTATAAGTTGCAAAAAAACAACAACAAGATAAAACAAAACAACTGAATTTTTACTCTAAATTTATTTTGACTAACAAACAGTTGAAGTTGGTCAGACTCTGTCCTCTCCTCAGAAGCAGCCTCAGTGTTTTGGTGCAGTCATGTGGTTGAATGTGTTGCTGTGAGAGGCAGCGCAGTAGTACATCCCTGTGTCGTCTGTGGCCAAATCACTGATCACTACAGAAAAGTTATTCTTGGATCCATCGAGTAAACACTCAAAATGATCTGTTTTTTTATCGTATTCTTTACAAACATGCTCTATCTCTGCATGGGCCCTCTGTCTGAACCAGTACATTGCAGCACTACTCATTGAATATCCCTCCAGACTGCAGTCAATCTTTATGGAAGAGCCAGGGTCAGTAAATATGTGTCTCACTGGCTGGAGAACTGTGATGGAAAGACCTGGGGTACAGAAAATGATTAGATTCAAGTTCAATGAAAATAAAGAAGAAAACACATCAGAAAGACTGACCTAGTTGGAACAGTAGAGACAGAGACAGAGACAGACCAAGGAACAGCATGTTGTTGTCTCAGAGCTATAGTGGTGAATACAGCTCATAGTAAAGGTGTGGTCACATGATCAGTGGGTTGGACAAACGCATTAGATGAACTTAAGTTATCATCTGCTGTTCACTTTGCATTGATGTACAAATTAGCCAAAGTCTTACAAAACATAGACTGTATGTATAAATGGACATCGTTAGTGTGCTAGCAGCGCATTCCAAATAGGAAGTCCGCATGTGGATTCTTCTGACCCAAATTCACCCCTGTAACCATTGCCCCATCGCTTCATCACATCGTTTTATACAGTCTATGGTTTCAAGGTTTTATTTAGTTTCTCTTCTCTCATTGTGCAAAGCAATATCACATAAAACTTAAAAAATAATAAGAATGAAACAGGCTTGTAGCAAATACTTAGTTTTCATTTGCATTTATTTTAATTAACATTTTCCTCCAATGCAGTTCTGTCAAAACTCTGTTAGCTAACCTGTCCCTACACTCTAACCATAACCAAATGAATGTTTTCTAAATCTTGTGGTCAAACCTGATCTTGTCAGATTTCAGAAACTAAACAAGGCAGGGCCTGGTTAGTATAGCCTAACCCTGATCGTAACCCTGATTGTGGAAAAAAAAAAAAAAAGAAAAGGTAAAAATCAGCTATTTTCTCACATAGCCACCAATGCAAAGTGGCATTTGTTTGGCCTAACCTGGTTGAAGGAAAAAATTATGCATTCTGCAGTGCTTCCACAGAATACTTAACTGACCTTTTCACCTTTTGTTTTCCTGGTCGTAAACTTATTCACACATATAATTTCAGAGGTTTTTGTAAGAGCATTTCCTTGGTTACAATAACTGTGTGCTTTGGCTTGCAGCACCAAAATACACTCCACTATCTGAGGGAGTCACATTTAGGAAATGAAGATGAGCCGCCTTCTCCCCATCTCCACTGACAGAGAATAAGCCCTTAAATGTATTTTCAACAGTAGGGTTTTTGTAGTATATGTATCCTATAAGTTTGAGTGAGGTGTCTCCAGTTAATTTCTGGTACCATAAAATTGTATCGTAGCTGTTGATTTGGTGAGACAAGGTCAGTTTTAGTTCAGACCCAGGTTCAAAAAATGCATCAGGAGGAGTCTGGAGGACCTTGTGTTTGTTAAGACTCGCGGCTGCAAAAGAGAGTCATAAAAATATGTTTCATTCTTTAAGAGATTAAATAGAATTGATGTCATTTTGAAATGTTTTCATACCTGTAATCATGAATGTGGTGATTAAAGGAATAATAAGTTCAGTGGACTTCATGTTGAAAATGTCTCGTCTCATCACAGACATCTGAGGTTTACTTCAGGATAGACAGGAAGAGGAGGGCTCTTACTTCACAAACCCCACACAGCTACAGACATGTTTTTATTGAGACACATTACAATACAATTTAAGTTAATGTCAAAAGTCCTATACAGGAAACCCTTTTTGTTAAGAACACAATTCATCTGAAATTTAATACAGACAATAAATATGTGAGAATACTTTTGATAATCCCAAACCAGAATAAACCCACAATAGCAGGTGCGTCGTCCGCTCTCTCTCTCTCTCTCTCTCTCTCTCTCTCTCTTTCTCTCTGTCTCTCTCCCTCTTGTCTCTCTCTCTCTCTCTCTTTCTCTCTCTCATTGAAAACCACTGATGAAAATATCAAACCTATAGTTTTTGTTCACTTTGTGACTGTCTTTGTATTGATGTGCTTGGCTGGCTGCACAGAAGTAGACTCCACTCTGCTCCGGTCCTTCTAACTGGACTGACAGTGACCCATTCTTGGCTGTAGTTCCCCCCAAATCACCACTAATGTTAAATAAAGTTTGGTATTGCGTTTCCATAGTGACATCTTTAAAATATAAATATCCGATTAATTTCATGGCCGTGTCTCCAAATGGCTGTTGGTACCAGAGCATCAGCCTGTAGTCCGTTTTCTCATGAGTGCAATATATATGCACTTTTTCATTGGGTTTCTCGATTACATTTGAATGGGATTGGTGGACTTTAAGACCAAGACAGCAACCTGAAAAAACAAGAAACAATATAAAAATACAGCTAATTAATGTAGTTGTTTTAAGTAGTGTCCATCACACAAAAAACATAACAGCTTAGAATCACCCATTACTAAAATTGTTTTACCTGTCATAAGGAAGAATAGACAAAAGTAGATCATTGTAAATCATTCTAAGTTCAAGTCAAGTCTCCAACTGATAATTTCTTCTCCTCAATTTGAACAGGAAGTAATGATCATTAGTTGGCATGGCAGGTGCTTGTAGGTGGAGCTTTGACATATACCATATAATTCAGTATGTGTGTATACTTTTTGGCCTATAGATTGTGCAGTTGCTGTTACTGTGGGTCTGATAGACGACTGAGCTGCACAATAGTAAATGGCAGTATGCTCTGGTCCAGCCTTTTTGATTAACAAGAAGGATTCCTGTAAACCATTACCGCTCAAATCTCCAGACAGGTCAAACTGTCTTTTCTCAAATTGTGCATCTACAGAGGTATAAGTATAGTGCAGATATCCAACAAAAAGTAATTCAGCTATTCTTGGATTTTGGTAGCAGAGCGTCACCCTGTGGTCACTTTTATTATAAGAACAAGACATCTCTACTCTTCGTTCAGGGAGTACGAACAGGTCTTTGGGTTGGTAGATGTCAAAACACACGCAGCAACCTGGAAATAGGTTTAAAATAAAAATTCCATACACATAAAATTAGATCATGTTAAAGTTGAAAGAAATACCTGCAATACAACACACAATCCAAAAGAGCCTCATTCTGGTTATGTGTATGGTGCTGGTTCAAAGTATAAGACGTGTGTTTGTGTGAGTGGGTCTGAATGTCATTACAGTATGGGAAGAGTTAAAGGTGCCCTATGTAACTTTTCTGCTGGAGGGTATACATCACCTACTTGTCGCTATGGAGATGTTATCCTTATTATATAAAATGATGACTTTACGAGACTTGGATCTTTAGCAGTTCGTAATTATCCTGCATCAATTCGTCATCTGTTTTAACTGTCGTACTGCTCTAGTGTTGTGACAATACTAAAATTTCAAACCTGATTTTGATACTAAGAGGCAATACTCAATATCTATACCGATACCATGACAATTATAAATACACTCTTTCTTTAGTCAATAGAATGTCATTTCATTTATATTACCATGTGCCTTTATATATCTGTGGTTAGCTAAGGAGCCTCCATATTTGACTGCAAATGTGGCAGAAGATTTTCCAGAGAATTTTTTAAATACTTTAACTGACTAAGTGCGGTGGATATATTGCTGCAGTAAAACTTGATTTCCCTCAGGATCAATAAAGTATATCCCTCTCTCTTTTGACAACCAAATACTGCACTGAGGTATCCTACAGCAGAAAAAAAAACTCTGTTAAAATATGTTGCCCAATCAAATTAGATATATTATTAGTTTCTTATTAGTTTAGATTATTATTAGTTATATTTGCAGCTATAATTTCCAAAAATGCTCCAGATAGTAAGGTCATATTGTGAAAATCATGTGCTGACATTGTGAAAGTCATATGTTGACACTGAGTGCTTGAGTTGCAGCCCCATCTACAGGACACAAATCAATATAGATTTTGTATGGCTGTTTATACTTTTATCCTTAATGCATTTTGTGTTGATATAATTACAATAACATAATAACATTTTATAACCTACCTTGTCCTATTAATGCTACAGCACTTATTGCACAATTTAGAAACTGGCTTCCCCCAAGTTTATTCTACCGGAGTATTAAAACCTTGACATTTCTGATATTTTGATGCATTGAAATCCACATTTGCAGGTGTCAGAATTCTCCACATTATTTTTACGTGTCTTATCCCTCTGTGGTTCCGTTTGTGTTTTGTTCATTATTTCCTGTACTTTTATATCAGATTTGGCTGTGTTCTTCATCCCTCAGGTGCAAATGGATGTGAGCCCAGTTTAATCACGTGAATATTTTTGTAGTGGGGCAGACCTCTTTTTCTCACTGTGCTACTTGCTGCACAATAATACGTGGCACTCTCATCATTTTGTGGAATAGTTAAAGTACAATTTTGGTCCTTTAATGCTCCCCCTTTAATCTCCACATTTATTCCTTTCTCTGGAAGTCCGTCTTTCACATTCATGAGTCCGAGAAGCTGTAGTTGAGTGGAGTCTTTGGTCTTCTTGTACCATAATATAGCAGTGTAGTCTTGAATGCTGTGAGAACACGTTATTTCACTTGGTTCTCCTATTTGGACGACTATATCTGATGGAGATTGGTGGACTTTGGAAGTGGAGCCTTAAAAACAAAAATCATAATTAATAATTTGCACTTTAAGTAGTCACATCAACAAATATATACTAGTACATAATGATATGCCAAAAATATAAAATATATGAATAATACCTGAAGCCAATATAATCTTAAAGGCTATTAAAATGATATGAAGTTCCATGATTAATTATGTATGTTGTATGGTTTGTAAGAAGGTTCAATGCAATACGGGTTTTGAAAAAGTGGGAGGTACTTGAAACACTGCTGATCCTATTGGTTCTTGTTCAGTGGGCAGTATGTGTATAAATATGTTGTTTTACTTAAATGTGCACTACGTAACTTGCTTGGCTCATGGAGATGTCATTGCTTTGCGTAGAATGTTCCACAGTACTGCATTAAACTCTTCTATCTTCATGGAAACAAGCAAAAGCTCTCGGCCAAGTTACAGGTCAGATCTATAGAGTGGCAAGCCTGCTTACAATAATGAATATGTTTTATAAAACGTCTAGCAAATAAAATTGTAATGGAAAAAAATGCAGTAAGGTTCATGTCATACTGTGTTTTGGAGATGAAAATTACATATATTTCTTCCCAAATTGTCACCTTATTGCTGTCCAGTTGAAAATCACATTGTAGAGGTTTTGGAAATGCTGTCTTTTATTGTAGCAAAACAGCGCCCCCCAATGGTCCTAATGCGTATGAAATTACATCAACATATCAAATAGCCCATTGCAGGTGTGTGATCACAGTTATTAGTCAGTATACCTGTGGTTTCTATAGTGAACGCCAGGTTTTTGTTAAAGTTGTGGAGTTTTCTTCTCACTGTGGCTAC